CACACACACACACACACACACACACACACACACACACACCCATTCCTCTCAGGTCTTTGTTGCTCCAGATCTTTTCCTCGCTTTCGTAACTGCCCTGAACCTCATGTTTCTTTTTCAGAAGGAGAAGGGGAGGCTAATTGTGGATATATGTAAGCACAACATTTTTTCAGTCATAACTGATAAGTTTCTGAAATGCCTTCTGCATTGCAAACATGTGCATCTTAATAGAAAACACTGCTTTTCTCAATCACTAGTTACAGCCTCACAGCAAATATTCCAGGAGGAGGAAAACCTCCTTTTTTCTCTTCTGAGAGAGATCCGCTTGACTTATTTTCTCCTTCTTCTTATTCTTCGTCTTTTTTTCTTCTTCTTCTTCTTCCCCCTTTGAAGTGGAGGATAGAAAGAGAATGGGGGTGGGGGTTACTTAAAATTAAAAATGATCCATCGAAGCCCCTGCCTTACCTTAAGAAATCGAGCCAGCCATCATGAATGATGGAGGGATCCAGCTGGAGAGAGAGGAAGTTTTCATTGACTGTCCTGACTGGGTTCTTGGTGCTCACATCAAGAAGAATCAGGGTCTTTTCCTTCAAACCTGGAGCTCTGTCTACAGGCAAGGGTCTCCTGTCTCCAGCTTGGGAGGAAAGAGAAAGATGGAGCAACAGAGCCAAGTAGAGAGCCACCGGGGCTAGGCACGAGGGGGGGCGGGAGTTGCTGGAGGGCATGTCTTCAGGGAAGGCACAGAGCACCCTCATTAAATCCCTCTGATTTAAACCTCTCTCCCTACTGGGTCTCGCTGGTGACTAATTGTCCTTATCTAAAGTGTGTGTCTGTCTGCCTCCCCCCTCTTCCCCCCCCCCATTCTCTTTCGCGCTTTCTCTCTCTCTCTCTCTCTCTTTTTTCTTTTTTCTTTTTTTTTTTTTCCTACAGTGTTTTGGTGCTGGTGGAGCGAACTCACGCCCCTAGCCAGCCTTCTCAGCAACTCGTGCCAAGAGTACTCGTTCACCAGCACCGCCCCTTTAAGAGATTTCGACTGCAGACATTTTTTAACTTTTTAAAGGTGAGGGGTTGGGGGAGGCGGGAAGTAGTAGGAAGGGGTGGCTTTGTACCCTCCTGATTTAACCCTCCAGGGTCAGGAAAGAGGACGGTGGGACCGATGCAGTACAGTGGTACGTCTTGGGCACTGGGCGGAACGTCTTTTTACTTCCCTTGCTGGGAGGCTTTGGAGAAAGCGGTTTAAGCATAAGCTCCTACCGCGCAAAGAGTTTGCACAGACTGCACGTCTGTTTGTCCTGACAGCATCAGGCATAGCAACCGATCGGGCCCTTCTCTCTGGGCTGAAGCAGCAAACGCAAGGGTTGTTAAGTTGCAAGGATTTGGGGGAGGCGACTGTGATTCCTGTCAAAGAACAGAGCACAGAGGGAAACTCCGTGACTAGGAGCCAGGACCTCCGCTAAGCACCGGGCAGCCCCACAGAAGCATCCTCTGACCTTGATATGGCAAAGGGTGGTCAGAGAGTAAAAACAGAATATCCAAGTCAAAGGGATTCTGTGTTCGGAGAAAGGAAGGAAAAAGAGAAAGAAAAATGCCCAATCTGTGCCATAGTTCTGCTGGGCTCTTCCTGCAGCCACCAAGAACTAACGGTTTTAAGGCCTTCAATATACTCTGGCTTTGATTAAGTCAAAGTGACCTGGACTGCACTAAGACAGGGCAGCTCTGCATACGTTTGAGATGCTCTCTGGCCATGCTATTTCGCTGCACAGGCAGATCTGCCCCTCCTTAAGGACGACCCTTGGGTTTTGCCTTTTCGCAGGGAAGTGAGTCTGTATGGTGCCAGTGAGGAACAGAAAGACGCTGCTACAGAGGCTTTAAACTCAGCCCCTAGTCAAAGCTGGTCCACAGGTCCCAGATGCCAGAGACCAACCCTGAACAGCGTGATTCCGCCTCAGCGCGGAACTCCCATCCACAACAGCAGATTGCACTCTAGGTCCATCCTGCAAAGTGGACAAAAGGCCAGGCAGAGTTTGTGGTAGGTGGGCCCCACTTTCAGCTTCTTTCTGGAAAACAATAGGCCTTCTACTTGGCAGATGAAGAGAACTACTCTATGCAGTTATGAGTACACAGAAGCATCCCAGGGTCTCCTTGGTATCAAACACACAAAACAAATTCGATAGGTTTTCCCCAGAGATGGGTGTTCAAAGGGCAGTCCCAGAGTTCAGCAAACACTGTAATACCAACCTGTCTCCGTTTTCCCTCAACTAGATAGTATGATCAAACCTGAAAAGGGCTGAAGTAGATGACCTTCAGCTTACTCCCCGAGAAACCTCTACCAACCCAAATAACCATGAAATCTAGAAGTTAATGTTTTATTGCACCATGAGGACCTTCTAGAAGCATGACCACATGAAATGAGGTTAAAAGAAGCTCCAAGTCATAACTTTAAAATGATTTTTAAAACCAAGCTGTAACAACATGTATTAGATGTTGGCTCCAGTTCTAATGCCTGCTTCCTTCAGTTCCTGAAAATTTCGAACATGCCCAGATCTTTTAAGATATGTGTATGTGTGTGTCTGTAGGTGTGGTATTTGGTGTAAGTTCCAGTAGAAACTTGCTAATTTTTAAATGCTTATTGAGAACTTCCCAGAGACGGTGACAGCCTGATGAGTAATAAATAACCTTTATGTTTGTATCAAACAAACCTGGGTACTTAGTAGGGACTCAATAAATATCCGTAAAATATATTAATGGGCAATCAACTCATGTTCAACATACTGAAGTCAAATACTGCTCTTAAGAATATGAAAAATAAACACTTTTATTTGTCAGTAAATTGTTTTGGGACTCTGTTTGGTAATTTGTTTTCCCAGTTATTAGCATTTTCCTGGCCATCTACTTCAGAAATACTTATTTTGCAAGGCCATTAGTTCATTTGCTATATTCAGAATTGAAACAAATTACTTATTTTTAACAATGAGCCAGATTTTCCAAAGGCCAAAACACTCCCTGGCTTACAAGTGAATGCAATTTTACAAGCCACATTAATTGAGACCAGCAGAGATCATTAGAATGAAATAAATCACTTGCCCACTAGATGTCTATAACAAATGCTCCTCTCAAAAATACTTACTTCTGTGACTAAGGATGAACTTGAATATATAAGAACCTGCTTAATTACAAATATTCACAATTTTACTGACTCAACTACTCTAGAATATTTTGGTGCCTAGTTACTTTAACCTGTATTTAATGTTTACATCAGAACCTCTATATGGGATTGAAGTCAAAACCGACAAAACAAAAAGTTTGTTTTCTTAATTACTGATGAAAACCATCTCTAGTCTAACCACTGAAATTCTATAGTCATATCCAACTTCAATACATCAGGGGAAGGAAATCAATTCAATAACATTTAAGGAGTTCCAGATAGCCCTGGTTGATTTCAAGATGATCTGATTGGGCCTTTAGTCTACTTTGGGTATAGATCTCCCAGCTACTCTTTGCATCTACTTCTCCCCCATCATGGTTTTTGTCTGTCATCTAGCCCTAAATTAATGATTGCTAATCATCTATATATTAGATTAGTGTGTTTACCCTATCTTCTGTGTGTTGGATAACAACAATCTGCTACTCTGCTCTATCTTACATAATTTCCTAGGGGACAAGAATATAATGTCTGTATAAAATATGAACTGTTAAGAAATAGATATGTTGATATCTCCTTAGAGACAATCTGCTTAATTTTTAATGATCTGTATAGGTTGCTTTGACATCTAGGAGACTAGATTCTCAGAACTGAAAGAAAACTTTAAGATTAACTGCTTCACTGTTTTCTAGACTCTGGGGCTTCAAAATAAGTATTAGTTAATGGGAGAAACATATTAGTTTGCCAACTTTTTATTTTGTCTAGTAAGGACCTTAAAAAAAATCTATCAACTACTTATCACTATCACTTTCCAAAAAAAAAAAAAAAAAAGTTTACATTAAAAAAAAAGCTGAAAAGCTACATCCAAATAGAGAGCAAGTGTTAAAACCAAACAAATTTAGCTTTATTCAAAAAATCACTATATTATCATTTTATCTGACAAGTGGAACTGAATCAGTGACCAACATGGGTACTAGGACTGGTAACTGGAACTACCAGTATATCTTGTGTTTATGACTTAATTCTACTTGGTAACATCCAGAGTTTTTTCCAAGATGTAAGTGCTTTTTAATAATGGTCATCTTGACTAAAATGATTTCTTCTGATTTTTTCCTCTTCCTTTTTCTCAATTTCAGCCTGTCACACTAATTGATTCTATATGCCATCTCCCTTTCATTCTAAACAATCAAAGCCTAGATATCTCTGTCTGTTTTCTCCTTCTGAAAGAATTGTACTTAGCTGTTAAATACCAAGAAAAATTATGTGCCACTGTAACCAGGACTAGAAAGCATGAAGATACAGCATCAGTTCAGTGTCTCATCATTCACCTGCCTTTCTACATGTCCATGATGACTGTTATCAAAACCCTAGGGTCATTCATGGCACTCAGGCCTATACATTTACCATCTTGTTAATCTTCTTCAAAAGCTCTGAGAGGTAGATATAATTCCTTATTACATACAGAATACATACAAAGAAATCAAGACTCAGATGTTATGCAATGTTCTCATTGGTAGCAAGTAAGTGGCAACAAAGAATTGAAAGCCAAGGTTGCCTCACTCCAAAGCCTATATTGTGTTCATAATCACCACACTCTACTTATCAGTGTATGGAGGGGCCTTGAACTAGGAGTTGGAAAACCTAAATTTAAGTCCTGATTTTATCAAATCTGACTTTGTGGTCTTGGGTAAATTTTTAAACCATTCTAAGACTCAGCTCTCTGCTCCATAAAATTAATGTAATATCCAAGAACAGGATAAGAATGGAGTAAGGTTATGTAGGAAGAAAGTGCTTTATAATTTCTAATATATTATGCAATTGTGCTACTTGTTTATTGTTAGTTCTTATTACCTATTTCCCACACTTGCCACAAAAATACCACTTTAACTGATGACTGGGGTGAGAATAAAGTAATATGTATGTATCTTAATGGTAAGCTTACAATGAAAGGTTAACTTTCATTGTCAGTGAAGGCAGCAGTTTAAACAAGACAATACCACACATTTTAACCACACAGACTCTTCCAATGATTTGTACCTAAAAGAAAAAAAGGTAAATAGGTTCTACATGCCTTCTTCAATTTTCCACTAAGAAAGGGACAGGAATAGGTAAGGACAGTACTGGTTACAAAGTGTGTTATATTATCATCAAAGACTGCCTCCATCCTGTCTGAAAGAGCAAGGAATGACACCACTTGCTTCATATGGCAAGTTGAAGGAGAAAGGAATTTGTAACTCCACGGGTGTTCAACCTCATTATATAACCCAATAGGCTGTATGATCTTTCATCCCATCACTGCCAATAAGCAGTAAACTTTTGTAGGGAAGATTATAACCATAATAAATGTAGTTGACTCTAATAAGCTCTGTTTGGAATCCCTTAACAGGTTTGAGGGTAGGGATGACAGTTGTTTGAAGGACTGCTGTATGTAGAAAAACCAATAAACAGGAAAACAGATTAAAATTACTTACGTCTTGGTCAAGACCATTGAAGAGTCAATCATATTCTTCTTAACTCGTTCAGTTTTGAAAATGCATCACATACTGGAAAAAGCAGGAAGTTGAGGCTGACAGACTTGGATTAAAATCTATTTCACAATTTACTATCTGCTAGCATGACTTTTACAAACAAGTAATTTATCTTCGCTAACCCCAATTATTGTAATAACTTACATGCATACTACTTA